AGGGGGAGCTGGGTCCCAGAACCAGTGCTGGGAAGGCAGCCTGGATACCGGGCCTCATGGTGCAAACCCAGGGACACAGGCAAGGGACAGAGCTGGCAAGGGACAGGCGGGACTGGTGGAGGCCGCTGAGGTTCGGCCTACAGTCAAGCCTGAGCCCAGACCCCAGGCAGATCTGATGTCCTAGATCTCAAGAGGAGTGGGTCAGGCACACAGATGAACCGCTGGGGACGTGGCCTAGCTGGAATCTGAGGCCTAAGGCCTTTCTCTGCCTTCCTCGCCCTCCCTCCAGCCCTCGCCTGTAGTTCATGGCCTGACATTCAGCACTTCCCATTCCGCTGCTGTCTCTCCTCAGAGACAGGCCCTCGCTTCAGGGCAGGGGACAGCTGTGTCCCCATGGAGCCCTCTGCCCTGGAATGTGACAGGCTCTGGCTTGATAGATTATTAGGGAGGAGGTAGGAGTTTTCCTTCCCCAGGTGAGAATACACAGATTCTTTTAATATTTCCATATTTCCTTCAAGTCTTCACTCAAGTAGTACCTTCTCAGTGAGGCAGTTCTAAAATACCAATTCTACATTACAGCGCTAACACACACACACACACACACACACACACACACACGAACACTGCTAATCTCTCTCCCTACTTCATCTCCCCCTCCCCACTATTCTCACACTCCCCACATCCTGTTGTCCCCCACTAGAGGGAACCTCCAATAAGCCAGAGATTTCTGTCCGTTTTAGTCACCACTATGTCTGAGCTCTTAGAATAGCGCCCGCAACAGAGAGATCAAAATAGACTTTTGGAATGAATGAATGATTAACTATGCTTATTTAAGTACTTGCTGGGCACTAGGGACTTTTGTCAACACCTGCTCAGTGCCTTACTCAGCCGCTGAATCCTTGCAACCACCCTGTGGGGAAGCATAGTCATCCCAGGGTCTTCACTGGTTCCAAGACAGCCCCGATCCCCAAATCAGAGGGTGCTCAAGTCTCATAAATGACAAAGTGGGGCAAGGCATGGTGGTGCATGCCTGTCATCCCAGCTCTCAGGAGGCTGAGGCAGGAGCATCACCACAAGTTTGAGGCCAGCCTGCGCTACATAGTGAGTTCAAAGACAGCCTGAGCTGCATATCAAGATCCTGTCTCAAAACACAAAACAAAGTGTTTGTGTGTAACCCATGTGCATCCTCCTATATACTGTAAGTCACACCTCGGTTACACATGTACAACACCTAGTAAGCCAGGCATGGTGGTAATCCAGTAATCACACCTGTAATCGCAGCACTTAGGAGGCTGAGGCAGGAGGATCACTGAGAATTTGATGCCAGCCTAGGCTACATAGTGAGTTCAAAACCAGCCTGGACTACATAGTAAAACCCTGTCTCTAAAACAAACAAAACAAAAACAAAAACAAAAAAACACCTTGTATTGCACAGTGTAAATAGCTACTCCTCTGTCTTGTCTAGGGAACAGTGAAAAAGCTTGCCCAGCTTCAGTGCAAACGCATGTCTTCTCCCCACGCCTTTACTCTGCTCGGTGAAATCCCTGGATGTGGAACCCGCGGACACAGAAGGCCAACTGCGTATTTTTTAGAGTTTTGGATGAGGACACTGAGTCTCAGAAAATCGAATTGCTTGCCCGAGGACACATCATTTTTACATGGCAGGATGGGGCTGAGATCTGTCTGGCTCCAAAGCCGCCCCATTGCTTGAACTCTTAAACTGGCCTCAGCCGGAGAACAGAAGCAGGAGCGGGATCAAGAGGCAGCAAAAGCCTCAGAAGAAGCTACTCAGCCCCTCCACCAGCGCCTCCTGGAAGAACTTCCCAGTCACTGGCCATGCATTCGCTCGGCACCTGGGAGAGTTCTTGCTGCTGGTGTGGGGTGTACCAGCCTAGAGGGGCAGGGACAAGGCGAGAAGAGGGCAGGGGACCACTCAGAGCAGCGTGCTCATGAACCTGAGCTCCTGAAGGTCCAGGCAAGGGGCGCAGTCTCCCCTGGAATCTGCCCTGCACCAGAGCCCTTCCCTCACGAACCCCACCCTCGGCCGTCGGTCCCCCGGGCAGCCCAAAGTAAGAGGGCCGGGCAGGGAGACAAGGTTTTCTGGGCCCATCTCAGGATTTACACTTGACCGTCTCCAAGCCCCTTTGACAGGGGAATCTGCGTGGCCTGCTGGGCTTTAATGAGACTTCATAAATGTCTACGGCACTGAATGAACAAGGGGCAGAATCAACGCAGGGAGAGACCTCTGGCAATCATGAGCCTGGGCAAGTGCGGAGAAAACCTTCATTCTGTTCCTCAGTCACGCTGCTGGGGCAGATGTCTTCCCCGGACAGCACTTAAGAATCCTGAGAGGCCAGGATTTTGCTCTATTTTTGTATTTCTTTTTTCAGTACTAGGGAGTGAACCCAGGGCCTTTGTATTCAGCTACATCCCCAGCTCCTTTTTTATACTGTATTTCAAGAGATGGTCTTGATAAGTTGCTAAATTGGTTGGGCTGGGACTTGCTGCAATCCTCCTGCCTCAGCCTCCCAGAGTGCTAAGATGACAGACTTACACCACTCTGCCTGATGACTACGGGTAATTTCTTAAAAGATAAAAATTGATCAGGCGTGGTGGCACACACCTGTAATCCCAGCACTCGAGAGGCTGAGGCAGCAGGATCGTTGGGAGTTTGAGACCAATCCGGGCTACAAAGTGAGCTCAAGGCCAGCCTGAACTGCATAGCGAGACCCTGTCTCAGACCAAAAAAAAAAAAAAGATAAAAATAGCAGAACTTGCTCCCTGATACTCATATTTAATAAATCTGGGGTAGGGCCAAGAATCAGCATCTTTACTAAGACACTACCTACTCCAACACACACACTAAAGTCGTGCCAGACCCAGAACTGTCCTAAGAAATACCGATTTGGGGTGAGGCTTGGGAATGCAGGTAGGCTTTTAGGGCCGTGAGAGGTTGCCCTAAGGGGAAATTCAGAAGTGCAGCTGGATTTTCTGAGATACTCAGAGATCTATCCGCCTGTGTGGGGTATTTTCTTGCATTGCAGAAACAAGAAGGAACTTGAACTGCTGTGTCCAGGCCTTCCTCGCCTGGCACCTAGAATGCTGGGGCTGGAAGAAGCCCAAGTCCCAGCTAGTCTGGGACCCGAGGGGCAAAGACTCCTCTGGGCATCCCGGCAGCGCCAGCACTGGGAGCAGCATGGCCGGGGCACTGAGAGCCCACAACGGGGAGAGCCCTGTGCTTTGCCTCTAGGCCGGCGCCAGCCTCGGCACCCCTCTGCCTCTCACTTCTCTAAACGGAGACAGTCACTCGCTCCATGCTTCCTGTGCGATTTCTTTCTTTCTACTCTCCAGGTGGTGCCTGAGCCTGTGTGGGTGTGGGAAGGGCGCTGTGCTGTTCTAACTTCTCTGCATTTTCCTTCTGAACCCTGCAGGCTTTCACTTCCTCCCCAACTCTCAGTTCTGCCTTTAACAAGCTGTCCAGATCATGAGACCCCCTGGCCTGTCCTCTCTGAGCACCAGGGAAACAGAACCGTCTACCACCAACTGTGTTCAAAGGGCCTTGCGGCCACTCAACAGTAAAAGGAAAGGCTCGAACCTCCTGGGGCAGGTAGCCTGAGGTCTCTGCCCTTCCCACATCTCTCCGACCCCACCTTCCCTCCCCCAGGCTCTTCTGCCCCAGGATCTTCTGGCCCAGGGTGACTCTCAGCTTGTCCCCAAACATCCTCCGCTCCGCCTGCTGGTCTAGTTCAGCATTTGGGAGACTTAGGACCACATGGAGCATAGAGCAAAGGGAGGGGTGGGCCTCCGTCCCAACTTCTGGGAACTTCTATCTCTTCTTGTAAAGTTTTATGTAGATCTAGCAGAGAATTAGAAAACCCCATTTTCAATCAAAGCTCAGTTCCCAACCAACAATCAATCAAAGCCCAGTTATTCTCAGTCAACCACACAGTTTCTGGCGGGTCCTTTTCTCTTGCAAGCTCAGGTACCACAGCCACCCAGAAAGCAAAGAGACAGGAGCGCGCCAGCCCAACTCTACCTATGGCAGGAACGCTTGGGAAGAGAGCTACGGGACTGGGTGTTCACCCAGGAGCACAGCAAGGTCGCAGCAGGGAAAGCCAGAGCCAAGGCCTCCCCAGCCACGGGATCCAGAGCCTGCCCACTACCCCTTGGTGTTCTGCTGTGTCCTCAAAGCCCTCAGACCCTAAAATAAATCTCTGGAGAAGCAAGCAGCTGCCCAGTTCTTCCACAGGAGACACTAGACAGGCGACTGGGCGGACAGCCAGAGCTCACAGAAAGGCCAGGAGGCCAGGCAGGGCACAGGCCACAGGAGCAGAGTAGCCCTGCCTTGAACCTTTCCGCTCTCTCTGGCCCAAAGGGGCGTCCAGAGCTGCCCAGCCCCAGCAGGGCCCAATCTCTCGCTGCCCACCCAGCTGAAGTCCCAGGACCGGGACACTCGGCTTGGCTGTGCTGCTGCTCGCGTGCGGCTGGAAATTCCGTGACTCAGCGCCCATGATGTCAGCGCCTTCACAGAAGGGGCAATCAAGCCCTGCACTCGTACAGCCCCAGAGGGACAGGGAGGAACCAAGCGAGGTGCCCCCACTCGGGCGGACGACGGAGAGGGGCGCTGTTACAAAGGACACCCCAAAAGAGAGCGATGCCCGGCTCGGAGCGCCCTCTGGGTCACCTCCTCTTACCGTAGAGTAACCGGGGTGCAGCCCTGGAGGGACGTGGGTAGGGGAGATCCTGGGAGGGAGTCACGAGAAAGTCGGGCTTCTGAGAACGCGCCTCGTCCAGTACTCAGCAGTAGCGGCACGCAGGTCAGACGCGCGCGGGGAGGGCGTGGGCAAAGGCGCAGGACAAGGCTGCGGCGCCCGCACCTGTCCCCGGCCACCCTGTCACAGCGCTCGTCCTCCTTCCAGCCTCCCCGCTGTCTTCGGCCGCCCCGTGGCTTCGCCCACCCAGCAGCTGCCCGGTCCCCCGGCGGCGCGCGGAGCCCTTACCCGGCGCGGAGCAAACCCACGCCTCCCCCGGCGCGGCGAGCAGGGCGGCCAGCAG